CGTAACATAATGGTATCCGGACAATTCCCCTCCCGGACGATTCCCCTCCCAGTAAATTTGAATGTTTTTTCACAACCCGGACATTTCCCCTCCCGTTATTTTTTTACGGCGGACAATTCCCCTCCCGTTCTTTTATCAACCCGGACAATTCCCCTCCCGTTCTTTTAACAACCCGGACAATTCCCCTCCCGCTGTTGTCAGAGCGGACAATTTCCCTCCCGTGGCTGTTGAATATATATATTATATAATATTGTTTATTTGAAAGGTATATACATTTTTGCAGCGGCAAAACAATAAAAGAACAATTGATAAGAACCAAAAAGCAATTAAGCTGTAGATTCTTGCAAAGAATATATTATGCACATGTTATAGTAAATTGAACTGTCATCATCGTCATTATGATTAGAAAATCATATTCACCATATTGAATCAGTACATGAAGTCCTAACACAAAATATCAGTGATCATTTTGATTTTATATATGATTGAACACATTTGTAGGAATATTCTTCTTCATTTTTAATTGGTTTTGCAATCAAGGACACATTTAATTAAGGGCGGCAATGATTAAAGATTTTTTATTGACAGTTTGTTTATCTTAAGCAGCGGCGGCAATGACTAAAGGCGGTATAATGTCACTTTTGTGAAATAATGATTGTTAAAAGTTCCGATCTTTAACAGTTTATTGTTAAGAGTAAAAACTGTCATCTTTAATAAGAATGGTTATAGATTTTTTTACACGCAATTAATGTGAAAAAATGGGAGGGGAATTGTCCGCTCCGCTAAAAAAAATGGGAGGGGAATTGTCCGCTCTGCTAAATTAACGGGAGGGGAAAAGTCCGCCCTATTAAAATAACGGGAGGGGAAATGTCCGGGTTGTGAAAATAATATGGAAGGGGAATCGTCCGGGAGGGGGATTGTCCGGGATTCTAACATAATGTATGAAACATAAATAATTAAGCATAGCGGCAAATCGCACGACCACGGGTTGATTTAAAATAGAGTTGCTAAAATATCCATAATGTGTGAAAATAATTTGTTTGTCCCGTTAATCTGATAGATATTACATTGAGTTTATGGACTTTTGTACGGATTCATCGGCTTGCTTTACATTCAACCTCGTTTTCTAACAATGTCAAGTAAAACAACAACAAAAACAGACAACATTTTTTATGTGAACGCCTATATGACTTGTGGTAAGGTGTCCCTGACAAATTTCTAAACCATTTTAGATTGTTTAAGGATGATCATTTCTCTATGAATCTATAAAAAAAGATATTAATATATACTATCAGTGAATGCTCTGAAAAAATTGTTCGCCAGTAAATCGAACACAGTACTAATAAACCTGGGACAAAGTATGGAATTTATATTGTATATCCCAGTAGAAACTGGATATCTATGCCGTGCATAGATGATTTTCATGATAAAAGAAGTCATAAAGGTCAGATCATAATGATCGATTGATACCTTTTATTTCTATTATAATATGTCAAGCATTTATTTCAATTTGGAGGAAGAAATATATAATATCTCGTTTTTATTTTTACATTTACCATGGACTTTAAAAAACCATCAGAAGCTCAGTTTTTTGTTATTTTAATTTATATTTTAACGGAATTTCATATACGAATACACAGACAGAGTGACGCTGGTATAATATAATAATAATGCTGATGATAATAATAATAATCTTCAAAAGTGAAACAATTAAATACCCCGCAAGCGGTGCGCAAATACGTTCCATTTCCCCCACCGAGTGCCTCAAATTTTACCGAAAGTCACGTGACATGTGCGACCGACAGTAAATCACGTTAAGATTTGAAGAAATTTCTGTTATAAACTGATATTAATCAGCAACTTTTTAATTGATCAGATGTCACTGGGTCATAAAATGTTGTTAGAGTATGTTAGCGCAACTTGTGACCCTCTCTGGTGCGATATTTGTGTATTATGCAATTATTTAGCGTGAAACGTAGGGGTCCGAGAGAGAACAGCCGATTTATGACACTTCGTTTGATGCGGGTCGGACTAACTTTGAATCGGCATAACTTTTTTAATAATCAAGCAATTAACATGCGGTTTAAAGCACATGAAAGGGAATTTATTTACGGAGGGAACCGTGTCAGGGATTTTTGTTTGCTCAATCAGCGACTTAATTATCTTTAATTACGTAATATGTATGGTGAAAAAAGTCGCATAAAATGTTTGACGTTACGTAATATTTTTTTGAGAAAAGATAGAAAAAATTTGAGACAAGGTTCCCCAGATATTATAAGTATGTTTATTTTCCTAAAGTTTGGTGACAAAAAAATAAAAAATGACTTTGATATGACGATTTAAAATTTTAGGATTTTTATTAAAAATCAATCATTTACAAAGGCATTTTTTTCAAATATGTTATTTTTTATGTTGATCAACGACATTTAATGCACAAAGATTAAATACATAACAATTATTACTAAAATAAGTTGGTTTAAATGACATTTATCTGAGTACCACGGAAAGTGTCTGTTGTCACCTTAAATGATTTTTACTCGCTGCGCTATAAGTGATTTTAAAAGTCGTAAAATTGTTGTCTGTATTTGTAAAGATATTGATTTGCTCTTTAATCATTGTTCTTTCACGGTAATGATTATGAAAAATCTATTTGTGTCATGTAGCAATACTAAACGTGGAATAGAAAACAGAAACCCTAAATATCGCCCAAAACGGCAAAAGTGAAAATGTTGATTGACTAGAGCTCTAGCCTGTCCAATGAACGTGCACATTCAGGATCACTTCGATTTGTATGCTCTGAATAAGGGTTACGCCTCAACGCGGCAATTTTAAAGTAAAAAAAGAGCTATTTATACGTATAACCATATACATGTATATATAAAGAACATGTAGCAATGTTTTAGTATGATAGATTCAGATTTTTAACACAGTGGCACTCGTTGATAAAAAATATTTTTACATCCTGTTTTCATACCCACGGTAACCGTTTTTCGTGAACTGGATATAACTCGTTAACTTAAGAACACTATTAAATACTACATGTATCTATTTTATAATTGCATTTATTTATGTTGATAAACTGCATATCTGACAAATTTAGTTAATTATATCAGTCAACTCAGCTTTATCAGAGAGCTCACCAATATACATTGTAAAGAGAGGAAGGGAACGGAATATTTATGGTTTGAAAACATTTAAATCGAGTAGAACCTTTTTAATAATAATGTCTCTTTCAACTGAATAAAAACGATAGGGCTATTTGGGACTATTTCTTATCGATGTGGTCATTGGCTGTAAATGCATGGATTATTACACGCGGCATGACCTGCAAATGTCCTCAACTGGGTTTTTGTAGCATTTTAAGATTTAAAAACGGATAAACATGACGCATATACTAAATAAGTGAATTATCTGATATGTAAATAAAGCAGTAAGTCATTTGAAAGTTGAAGGATAAAAATTGAATATACACTTCAAATGTAATCGCAATTTTAGTAAGCTTATGTTAGCTATCAATTATACAATGGACGCATCAGTGTCATATGGACCCTAGTCTTAGATCTTGCCGATGTTGCTATTACAGATGTTAATGTAAATATTTATATAATTATTGATAATCATTGTTATTTCCGTCTTTTTGAATGTTTTGTTTTCATGAAATTTGACTGTGATCGATGGCTATTGGTTTGTAAAATCATTTATCTGTTTACTATTTTCTACTTTGTTTACTCCACATGACGTCCATTCTCGTTCTATTCATGGCCATTTTGGGTCTTTTTGATAAATAGAGAATCATAAGTAATGCAACTAAGTAACAATAATATCAGGTTTACACGGCAAAGTTCCAAGTTCAAATTGTGATTTCGTTTATCAAACTCTATAGAAATTTATTATACAACAATTCCAGAAATAATATAAACCTTTTAAAAGTCTCTCTTTTGAGGACAGAAAAACCTATTTGTCACATTCACGAGTGTCAGTGTTTGTCAGTAACTCTTGACAAAAATAAAGTGAAAAATACCTTTAGCTTTACAACACTCGCGTTAAAGTGTAACCCTTTCCATAGCATACAAACGTGTTTTTTTTTATTTTAACTCTTGCTCTTACTGAGAGCACATATATTTCTTATCAATTTCGCCATTGTGAAATAGAATAAAACACATTTTACTACATAGGATAAGATGAGCAATACTTAAAACATCTTCAAAACGAAACCAAAATATTATTTTCCGACAGGACTAAATCTAAATGATTTGACGTGCACTATTGCGATACAAGTATAAGTGTTATTGCTTTAAGGAACAATCAGTTTTTTCACAATCTCTCTGTGAAAGATCAACAAAGATAAACTAAATTGTAGAAAGAGAACGGTAGGCATGTTGCTTCGCATTTGCAACAAATTCTAAAATCTGCTTTAAACTGTAGTCCTTTTTTTCGACTTGGAACTGGTGCCAGAATTGACAATTGAAGAAAAATGTAAGATTTATGTCATTCATAATAAAAATATGAACATATTTAGGTAGAGTTTTGCCTTCCGTACTCCCGGTTGATGTAAACCTGACTTTTTATTCATGGCATAGACCAGATAACGCCAGAAAACGAAATAGCTTGCAACTGAAGCCCGCTCTAATACAAGCAACTTTCAAGGTTATGCAAAGTGTTTGATAAAATGGCTTATAAACTGACGAATATCCAATATTCTGTGGAAAGCTTATATTTTTCCCCGTAGACTGGTGCATATCGCAAAGAAATTGGTACAGAAATAAAATATTTATGACTATTTTCTTGTCCGAATCGAGCAATATTTGTCTTGGCAATGATGCCGAAAATGACGTCAATGTCACGTGGTATGGCCACACTGTAAATGTGCAAATTGTAATGTTACCGCTGAAGTTTGTTTGTTTGGCATAACGGAAAAGCCCGTGTAGATTGTCATCCAAATGAAAACAGCCAATCGTATTTAGGATATCCTTTGCATGATGTCATGGCGTGATTCACGATGCATCAATGCCGAAAAGCGTCCGTACTTTCCGGAATTAACCCTATATTAGAATCTTTTTGAAAAGGAAACTTCTGGTAAGTGATAACTTGACTACATGTATTATGCATACTGATGTTACTGTTACCTTGTGATTTGAAATTTTCATGCAAAACGGCCACTTCCGAAACTGGGTCAGTGACAGTTTTTGTACTGTACTGCAGTAGCTGTTGAAGCGTTGTTTATAATAATTATGTTTATATTACAATTTTAAAACTGTGTTTTTATCAACATTAGAAATTCATGTATTTATTAATTGAAGCATTATTAAAGATAAAAAAATCATACGCATAAAGAAAACAGAACATGGGAAACCAAATACACGGAATGGGAATACCCACATCTATATTTAGCATAGATCTATATCTAATATTTAGTCTTAATTTTAGAACAGTATCACCTGACCAGGGCCACATATTACATACACTTTTCAACTCCGTGCCAGGGCGGTATCACCATGATGTGTACTAGGGATCCCATTTATGAGTTGTAAGGTATTACAAGGTATAAATTATAATTAGATATCAAAGAAACAGGAAACATTAGATCATGAGCTATTTTCCGACCAACAGTAGTACTATATGGTAAGGACAATTTACAGATCATTAGGTAAGGACAATTTTTTTATTGCGCCCCCACTATAGGGGGGAATTTAGATTTACTCTTGTCTGTCTGTCGATCCATCTGTCCATCCATCTGTCCGTCCGTATCCTTTTTTGTATCACACATAGCTCAAAAAGTTATTGACCTAGAGTTGTGAAACCTTACAGGAATGTTGATCAGCATGTGTAGTTGTGCACCTGGGTATTTTCGTGTGGATATATTTCGTATTTTTAGAGTTATTGCCCTTGAATTAGTAAAAATTACCAATTTTCAACTTGTGTCGCACGTTACTAAAAAAAGTATTTGACTAAGAGTTGTGAAACCTTACAAGAATGTTGATCAGCATGTGTAATTGTGCACCTGGGTTTTTTCGTGTGGATATTGTTAGTATTTTTAGAGTTATTGCCCTTGACTTAGTAAAAATTTACAATATTTTACTTGTGTCGCACGTTACTCAAAAAGTTTATGACCTGTATGTCTGAAAGTTTACAAGAATGTTGGTCAACATGTGTACTTATGCAACTTGGGGTTTTCTTGTGGATTTATTCAGTATTTGTAGTATTTGCCCTTTACTTATTAAAAGATTTTTAGTTTTTAACGCACATGAAGCCAAATGTCAATTTACATACATGTATCATAGTTAAATTGTCCCATTCAAAAGATTCAAAATCCAAAAAATTGTAGGTGTGTCTAATTTAAATCATTCAGTTATTCTATGAATGACATATTAAAATCAAGATGCAACAGTTAAACACAGTTTAATAAAATGGTAAATACTGTATAATTTTTTTTAGTTCACATGTCACTTTGTGACAAGGTGAGCTTTTGTGATTGCTTTTCGTCCGGCGTCCGCCCTGCGTCCGTCCATCGTCCGTAAACTTTTACTTTAAATGACATCTCCTCATAAACCACTTAGCCAATTTCATCCAAACTTCACCAGACCTGGGGATGATTACATTGATCAGTAATTGATTTAATTACAATTACTTTCAGATTTTATTGTAATTGATTACAATTGACTACTCAGACTTGCCTCTGTAATCAATTAAATTACAATTACTTTAAGAAAGTAATTGATTGATAATTGATTACATTCAATGTATAACTATAAACAAAAGTTTCTTAATGCTATTTAGTATAATTATACATTATATACATTATATACACAAAGGATTTCCAGCTCATCAACAGTCATCATTTTAACACACTTTTAGTTCCTGTCACATCACTTTATCATATTTTAGCATTGCACTTTAGCATCATAAGTTTTCATGAAACCTTCTGTCAGTCAGACTGCATCTATCAGTATCAGGACGGAAAATTTTACCAACAACACTAAGCAAACGCTCTACAGGGGCTGATGATGCAGGAATGGTCCTCAGTCTTCTTGGTGGAGGTTTCATAATGAACTCTCTGCAACAGAAATTTTGAAAAGTGTCAATTGTACAATATGCTGTATACATGTGTTAAAACAGGTGTGAAAACAATAAATTTTTGTATGCAAAGAGACAATAGACTTTACAAAGAAATTATCAATTTTTTTACAAACACTTCAATGTTACAACAGTTTCCATTATAATATAGACACATTGTCTATCACCTTACAAAATAACTGTTGCATATAATTAAAATACTGTATGGTAATATGCATCTGACATAAACAAATGTAGGACAAAACCCCACCAGTTAAAACCCCACCACTCAAAATTTTATAGAGTGGACAAAACCCCACCACTAAATTTTATAGAGTGGACAAAACCCCACCACTTAATTTTACAGAGTGGACAAAACCCCACCACTTCAGTTTTATAGGGTAGACAAAACTTTCTTGTAAAAATGTTAAAAAACAAACAATTGTGCATCAGCAGAAACTCAAAAGAATGTGTGAACAACTCATCAATAAGGAGAAGACTGTACCCGAGTTTCTTCAGGCTATCAGCCACAGTATCGGATATCCACTTAAACTAAGTACAATGAAGTACAATGAGGGAAAATTGACTGAACTGAATAAATTAGAAATGTGCTATAAAAATGTGCTATTTCTTAATCATTAATTGATGAAAATGTGCTGCATTCTTGATTAATAGTAAGTAGTTTATTTTTTATATAAATAAATTGAAGAAATGAATTTGAAGAAACTAAAAATAATGGATAATTTAAGGTCATAAATGTGGCACAGTCTCAAATAAATGACTACTCTTTGATGTTGATTTGTAAATTATTTGTATAATCTCTTATATTACACAAATGTTATATTGAAATTAAAAAATAAAATGTGAAATTGTGTACTGTATATTAAATATATTTTAATTAGTCCCCTACCGGTTTACCGGAGGGGACTTTAGGTTTACCCTCCGTCCGTCTGTCCGTCCGTCTGTCCGTCTGTCCGTCCGTCTGTCTGTCAGTCCGTCAGTCCGTCCGTCCGTCCACAAAACTGGATCCCGCGATAACTTGAAAAGTACTGAAAATATTTTTATGAAACTTGATATATGGATAGATGGCAGTATGGAGATTATGCACGTCTTTTTCTTTTCTTCCTATGTTGAAAATTCTGGTTGCTATGGCAACAAATAGGCTGAAAATATGGCAAATTTTACATATAAACTGGATCCAGTGATAACTTGAAAAGTACAGAAAATATTTTTATGAAACTTGATATATGGATAGATGGCAGTATGGAGATTATGCACGTCTTTTTCTTTTCTTCGTATGTGGAAAATTCTGGTTGCTATGGCAACAAATAGACTGAAAATATGGCAATTTTTACACGTCCGTCCACAAAACTGGATCCCGCGATAACTTGAAAAGTACTGAAAATATTTTTATGAAACTTGATATATGGATAGATGGCAGTATGGAGATTATGCACGTCTTTTTCTTTTCTTCCTATGTTGAAAATTCTGGTTGCTATGGCAACAAATAGGCTGAAAATATGGCAAATTTTACATATAAACTGGATCCAGTGATATCGCAAAAAAAGTACTGGAAATTTTTTTATGAAACTTGATATATGGATAGATGGCAGTATGGAGATTATGCACGTTTTTTATTTTCTTCCTATGTTGAAAATTCTGGTTGCTATGGCAACAAATAGACTGAAAATATGGCAATTTTTACACATAAACTGGATCCAGTGTTAACGCAAAAAGTAATAGAAATATTTTTATGAAACTTGTAATATGTGTAGATGGCAGTCTGGAGATTATACACGTCTTTTCTTTTCTTCCTTTGTTGAAAATTCTGGTTGCTATGGCAACACATAGACTGAAAATATGGAAAATTTTACACATAAACTGAATCCAGTGATAAACTCAAAAAGTACTGGAAATATTTTGAAATTTGACATATGGGTAGATGGCAGTCTTGAGATTATGCATGTCATATCTGTTCTTCCTATTTTGAAAAAAAAATTGGTTGCCTTGGCAACAAATAGGCCTTAAAACATGGCAAATATAACAATATTTGTGATTAGTAAAAAAAGCTGAAACTTTTTATGAAATTGCATCTTTAATTCCAGAGTTATCTCCTCTTTAAAAATTTTGCTTTTTAAAATGTTATATTTTGGTAACAGGGATGTTTCAAAATATTAACTTTAGAGTGTTCCTTCATCGTCCGTCTGTCTGTCTGTTTCATAAAAACTTTCCTTTGTGATCACTTTAAAGGAACATTTCCAACAAATTTACTTAAAATAGAGAAAATTTACACATTAGTGAATGCCTGAATGGCCAATGGCCCTTCAGAATGCTGATGGGGTTCTATCCGGTAGGGGACTTATGGATTGCTTGCAATACTATGATAATTGCTTGTTCATCAAATCTTGCCCAATAATTGGTAAGTGGTGGGATTTTGTCCACTCTGTAAAATTTAGTGGTGGGGTTTTGTCCACTCTATAAAATTTAGTGGTGGGGTTTTGTCCACTCTATAAAATTTTGAGTGGTGGGGTTTTAACTGGTGGGGTTTTGTCTGTCTTCCGACATAAACTCTAGAATATACAAAGTAAAGAAGTTATCTTCATTGTTTAAAACTTTTTAAAACATGGTTAAACCAAAATATGTGAAACAAAATTTAACATACCTGTATGTGGGTAATGAAATTTGAATGTGACATAGTGTTTCCATTTATCTTCTTCGGGCACAATTTACACTGTGCTGTCACATTTCCAGATGTTTCTTTAGGAAATTCAAAAACATCATAAATCCAATGATTTTGACATTTTGGTTAGAATACAAGCCAAACAATGATGTCTATCTTTCAGTTAGAATTTGGTCAACTGTATGGATGAAAACTTATTTCTTCATTATGAGTGATGTCTTAAAATGTCTCACTTGATATTTTATTACCTTAGTTAAACTGTAACATGTGAAATAAATCATTTGAATTTCAATAGTTTCATGTAAAATCTGAAAGTAATCAACATCAATCAAATTGTAATCATAATTACTGACTGAATTTAAGCTGTAATTGATTAATTACATTTACAATTAATGTAACCAATTTTCAGCAAGGTAATCAATTACATGATGATTACAGTGTAATCATGTAATCAATTAAAAAATCGATGATTACGATTAGTGATTACCCCAGGTCTGAACTTCACAGGAATGTTCCTTTGGTGGTCACCTTTGAAAATTGTTCAAAGAATTTAATTTCATGCCTAACTCTGGTTGCCATGGCAACCAAAAGAAAAAACTTTAAATATCTTCTTCTAAAAAAACCCAAAGAGCTAGAGCTTAGATATTTAGGATGAAACATCTTCTAGTGAGTGTCTACAAAGTAGGGGTCAAAAATGGCCCTGCCCCAGGGGGTCGTTGATTTTCCCTATATGTATATAGTAAAAACTTAAAAAATCTTCTTTTAAATAACCCAAAGAGCTAGAGCTAAGATATTTAGCATGAAACATCTTCTAATGCATATCAACCAAGTTTGTTCAAATAAAAGCCCTGGGGCCTCGCCCCAGGGGGTCATTGATTTTTCCTATACAGTATGCATATAGTAAAACCTTAAAAATCTTCTTTTAAAGAACCCAAAGAACTAAAGTTTAGATATTTGGCATGAAATATCTTCTAGTGAGTGTCTACCAATTTGTTCAAATAAAAGCACTGAGGTCAAAATTTGCCCGCGCCTGGGGGTCAATAATTCTTATATACATATAGTAAAAACTTAAAAATCTTCTTTTAAAGAAGCAAAAGAGCTAGAGCTAAGATATTTAGCATGAAACTTTTTCTAATGCGTATCAACGAAGTTTGTTCAAATAAAAGCCCTGTGGTCAAAATTGGCCCGCCCCAGGGGGTCATTGATTTTCCCAATATAAATATAGTAAAAACTTTAAAATCTTCCTTTAATTTAAAGAACCCAAAGAGCTAGAGCTAAGATATTTAGCATGAAACATCTTCTAATGGATGTCTACCAAGTTTGTTCAAATAAGAGACCTTGGGTCAAAATTGGCCCTGCCCTGGTGGACATTCATTTTCCTTATATGTGTATAGCAAAAACTTAAAAATCTTCTTCGAAAAAAACCAAATAGCTAGGGTTTAGATAATAAGCATGAAACATCTTCTAGTAAGTGTCTACAAAGATTGTTCAAATAAAAGCCCTAGGGTCAAAACTGGCCCTGCCCCAGGGGTGTCATTGTTTTTAAATATATCTGTAAAGAAAAAACTTAAAAAAATCTTCCTTTCAAAAACCCAACAAGCTAAACCTTAGATGTTTAGCATGAAACATCTTCTAATGGGTGTCTACCAAGTTTGTTCAAATAAAAGCCCTGAGGTTTAAACTGGCCCTGCTCCGGGGGGGGGGGGGGGGGTATATACAGGTGAGCAACTTCAGGGCCATCATGGCCCTCTTGTTATTTGTACAATTTGCTTGATAACAAGAACAAATTGGCACCATGGTTAGGGGACCATCATAAGTTGTATATTTGTCAATCCTAGCACATTAACCTGTCATATATATCAATAAAACTTAATCTTAGTGCTCTGTTTTGAATTTTTTTTTCATATTTCAATGTCTCGAATAATAGATGGTAAGCAGGGCTTCCATAAAGTCCTAAAATTTGGAAGTCAGAGACTGCAAAATGTCTAACATTAGACGTCACATTATGTAGGTAAAAAAGGAAAAGCATTACATTTTGGAAGTCACAAGCCAAAATCAAGGAGTAAATAACTCCCGAACTTCCATTAATGGAAGCCCTGGTTAGACACACATTGCATTATATTATCAACAAAAAATTCAAATGCCAGAATAATATTTCAATGAAATTAGCTTTGAAGAAACCGGAACTGGTACCTTGACTAATATTACACTTTGGTTTTTAGGAAACTGATGTTGACATCACATCTCATTATGATGATTAAAGTGAAAAAAATCAGACAAACTGCTATTTTTATTAATGATAGTTTCAGTGATAAGAAAAAAATTGTGTTGCATGCTACAAAGCAGCATGAACATGTAGAGATCACTTCTCTGTTGTTTACATTTGGATACTTATGTGGCTAGAGGAACAATAGGTAACCCAAAGTGTACTATCTCTTTGATGCTGTGTGTTTTTTTTTTCAATTTTCAAAACAACCTGTGGCTTTTTGAAGGTGAAAATATAGTATGTTAAATAAGAAACAATCTGATTAAAATCAGCTCCTTAATCAGCTATAATTTTAGATCTGATGATCAGTTATTGGTGGTCACCTTCTCGTATCCTTTCAAACAGCCAATTATCAGTGATCTATCATAATTTTGAAAGTGATGCGATTTCTATTTTTATCTGCTGAAAAACCAATATTGATAATTTTCATGATTTCGAGAACAACCATGGCCTTGCTCATATAGCCTTCCTGTAAACTGGCAATACATTCTTGCCCATTAAAATTGAGATTATTATTTTCAGTTTACTCTTTTCAAATAACTTCAAGCAATTCTTTTTCCAACAAAAATCAATTTGTTTTACTTCCACAAACAACTGTACTTTGATTCTTCGTCTAATGCCTATTTGTACAGTGATTTTTCTGCTTATATAACAGACTCCGAAAAAGGGCCTCTTCCCAATTGAAATTTTCTTCAAAATCATGCAGTTTTCCCAAATATCTTAACCTAAACCTGCTTTTTTACTTCCCAAATTAGCAATTTTAGCAATATTTTTTCCCAAAAACAAAAGGATAAGGCCTCTTCCCAATTAAGTAAGAAAAATCACTGTTGTAAAAAGTGGTTTTATTGCATGGCTAAAAATAGCTTTCTCGGGAAATCCATTTCATGGTTAAGGAGTAATCACTCGTCATATCTACATGTAAGAAATAAGTAGACCTGAAGTTAAATCAGATTTAATCAGGAAAGGAGTTAACAGAACTGGTGCAATTTCATCCAAACTTTACAGAAATGATCAGTAACAAGTCTAGTCGTGCATATTCTCTGCATTTTCCAGTTTAATGACTTTTGTTAGTTTTGGCCCTTTAATGATTTTTGAAAAAAAAAAGATGTGTCTGAAATACTGTTTTTATACAAGTAATGTAATTTGTATGAAACTTTACATTTTAGTTGCACTTCTATTAGCTGCCTATATTTTAGTGGTTGTCTGGTTGAATGATTTTTTTGCTGAGTTATTGCCCTTGAATGAAAAAGGGTTTTTTGCCTGTTATTTTTATGTTTTCTGCTATGCAATAGCTGATACATGCTGCAACGTAAGCTAGGATTTAAAAGGAACATGTTTTTGTCGTCAATGATCAGTGCCAAGTGAAGTTGTGCATATCTACAGCATATTCCAGTTCAATTATTTTTGCAGAATTATTGCCCTTTAATTATTTTTATGTTTTAAACTTTTGTCTTTCTTTTATACTACTTACAAACCAACAAACGACCTTGTAATACAAATAATTATGTTTCATTTTTCAGATAAGCAGTTATTCAGGACAGTTTGTTGGAGGAAAAATTAAGATAAATGATACATCAAAAATGAAAGTAACATACAGGAAAAAATAATGAACAATATATGAAACAACACATGTAATAGACAATTATTCATCTCTCTCCAGTTAGAGAGAAACTTGATACCTCAAGTAGCAGTATTGACAATTTTGTTTCCTTAAGTGTTGTCGGCGTTTTTTTAAAAAAAAAATTATTTACTATTTAATAATGGCAGCTGATATGCAAGGAGGGTATTCAAGAGAAATCTTTCGGAACGGGACACTTGATCCAAAGTTTACTTGTAATTTCTGCAGTAAGGTATTGAGAGAACCTGTCCAGTCATTCTGTGGCCATAGATTCTGCAAGTCATGTATTCATTCAAATATCAGGTAATTTTATCATTATTATCAAAATAGTCAGTACATATACTTTTAATGATAGTAAATATATATTACTTGATAAGTTAAGAGCTTACAGTATGGCATATAATTATATTCTTTCTTTTTCGAAATAATTTTTTTTACAATATTGCATAAAAACAACAAAAAACAAACAAACAAACCATCAGCTCAAGTTTTTAAGAATGATGTTTTCATTTAATAATAATTAAACATGAATGCCTCCAGATGAGCCAAAAATATTTGAAGAGCAAATATTCTAAAATTTCAAGAAATGACTTCAGAATCAAGTAATAATTTACATATTATATTATGTGCAATTAAAGATTGAATTTGCCATCACCATACTTCTACTGCATAATTAAGGTGTTTTTTAAAAGGTTATTTCAATTGTAAGTGCCCTTTGCAATGTGTAAATTACTTTCTTTGTTCATTTCATAATATTTGTTATTTAAGTAAATACATTTTCAAAATGTCCATTAAAATTAGCACAAATCTGGAGGCATGCTGCTTTAATATTTATCAACTTTTGATTAGAGTTCCCTGTATATAATTTTTTATTTTAAACATTTGATAAAAGGACTTAATTTGTTTTCACTATATTTTGGATAATTATACATTTGTGTTTGGTGAATGATTTAGATATTTGTAACCTCTGATGGGCCAAAACATCATGCATAAGCTCAAGGTTTAGTAATAACTCAGAAATTTAGAGTAATTGTCCCTGAAATAACATTAATTTGTCAGACAGCTGAAGTTTTCAACTGTAGTCTATCCAATATTGGTCACATTTTATATCTAATTTGATGATGAAGTTCAAGGTAATAAATCACCAGCAAAGATGCACTTTTGAGTTATGTCTTTTGAGATCAATGAGACATTTTATTCCCTTGAGTTAAACCAAAAAATTGAGTTACATCCCTTGAGTTAACCAAAAAATTGAGTTACATTCCTTGAGGTAAACCAGAAAATTGAGATACATCTCTTGAGGTAAACCAAAAAATTGAGTTACATCCCTTGAGGTAAACCAAAAAAATTGAGTTACATCCCTTGAGGTAAACCAAAAAAATGAGTAACATCCCTTGAGGTAAACCAAACATTTGAGTTAGGTTCCTTAAGGTAAACCAGACATATGAGTTACTTCCCTTGAGGTAAAACAGACGTCTGAGTTACTTCCCTTGATGTAAAACAGACATAATTTGAGTAATATCTCTTCAGGTAAAACAGACATTTTAGTTACATTCCTGTAGGTAAAACAGACATTCGAGTTAAGTCCCTTGAATTAAAACAGACATTTGAGTTATGTCTCTTAAGGTAAAACAGACATTGGTGCAATGCCCGGCCCTATGAGGCAAATCAGACAAATTTATTTACAGCCTATTCATGAGCTTTAACTGATGAAATAGCTGGTGTAGGGTACATATTTATATTAGTAAATTAGTAATAATTTTTTCTTTTTTTTTTTAATTGTAAACAAGTATTATATCCCAGCCAAGGTAGGAAACCAGCAATATTTAACAGAAGTGATTTAGAGTTATTGTTCTTTATTAAACAAATATTGATGAAATAACTGTGATAGCAACAGTAAAAGAAAACAACATGAGGTTATTTTGAAGAATATGAACCAAATTTTGAACATTATATCAATTAAGTTTACACAATATTAGGTATCTGAGCCATGGTAGATAAAAAACAGAAGCCGCCTCCGTGGTCGAGGGGTTAGAGTCGATGACTTCTAATCCAGTTACCTCTCTGGCGTGGGTTCGATCCCCGGGAGATGCTTTGGTAGTTTAGCGCGGAGGAAGGTAGTCTAGTACTGGTGTAACTCTCCAGGAACGATGGTTAGGAAACTACCCGCCTATATGACTGAAATACTGTTGGAAAAAGGCGTAAAATGAAACAAACAAACAAACAAACAAACAAACAAGATAAAAAACAAGAAATAAATCCAGATGATAAGGAGATGCAGGCCTTGATTCAACAGTTTATTGCCATGAAATGTGTTAATGTATTAACCTGTAATAGTCAGTCATTTGTGACATGTTATTTGGCCCTTGATTTCTCATATAAGGATGAAATATCACTTTTGCCTGATCAAGAAATTTCAACAAATAATTGTATGGGAATATAACTATACAACAAAAGTGTAATAAATGCCTTGATGTATTTCTGTCATGGAATGATGTTTAATTCCATTGTTTAATATATCTCGCTTACCAAATAGTATTCTATATAATTTCTAAATCATGTTATTTTACTATTAGTGAACAAATTTTATCAAATTTTTTTTTTTTCCAATTGAAAGGTCAGGTGAGCAGATTAAATGCACACAATGTGAAAAAGAAGATAATGAAGCTCCTAGTATGATTTCCCCAGAACAGGTTTGTAATTTTTTTTGTATAACCTTTGATAATAAGGCCCGTTTTAATTAGCATGAATATCCATATTTAGAGCTGTCATTCATTTAGTACAAAACATATTGCATATTGATATTTGATGAAAAATATAAATGATTCACTTATATTTCAACAATTACTTGTCTATATTTCACTTTCATACTGTTTTACAGTCATGGTTTCAGTAAAAAACATAATTGCTCTGTCATACAATTACAATGTTTCTGTTTATAAATGCCAATGGCATGACTTTTGTTCTCATCACTGCTAAAAAGTATGTCTGTTACATAAAGACAGCATAGTTTAAGACATGGACACCTGCTTCAATCTGTACATGTTTTTGGGTAAATTTTCATAATTTCTGGTCATTTAATAAAGTAGTCAACAATTATCTGTTTTTCAAAATGTGTATCAATTATTAATTAACAAAAAAATGTTGAAGGTACATTGTTTTCATTGCCGACAGCTCTACCAATATTAATATATGATATAGGTTATGTGAATTTTCTTATTTGTGATGAAAGCATATAAAGCTTATCAGATTGCATGCTTGAGTCCACTTCCTGGAACTGACCAGTACAGGTGTCATGTGTTGAGACAAAAGGGTTTGATCTCCTCTTACCTGGGTTTAGAAGCTGGCACCTTGACCATTATCCCAGTTGACAAACTCATCCCACTTGATTTGATATAATTACGCTGCTTAGATTATTAAGTTTGGTCCGACTGCTTGAACAAGTTCAAGATGACCTGGCTTTTTATTGATGTCAATGGTCTTCAGTTACTAGTTATAACACTTACATCATGTTATATTTCATTGCTTTATTTCTTAAAATATTTTTAGACAATGCAAACCAACGATAACAATAACCTGATGTTATATTATTTTTTTTTCTGAAGATATTTCCTGACAATGCAATTCGGCGAGAGATGCAGAGGCTTGCAGTTGTTTGTGACAGCAAGGATTGCCCATGGAAAGGCACTTTCAAACAATATGAGGTAATGTACTGTGGAATTACCATTTTGAATGAGATATTTCAATGAAACTTGATTTAAGCAAGCTTATGTCAAGACATGGCCTGGAATTGCTTTAAGGTCCCCAAGGGTCAAAGTCAAGGTCACTGTTACTAACGATAGAAAGTAAGTTTCCTGTCAATAACTAGATTAAGGAATACTGAAATTCATGAAATACTGGGAAGGTCCTTTGTAAACTTTTCTGTTGGTCACCCATGCTGTCTGACCAGGCTCTTGCAGATGGTGAGGTCTTTAATAGTTTTTGGTGAACATGTAACATAATTATGTAAATGGTTAAAGGAAAGATTGTTGGACTTTGGTTTTTAGCATCAGCATTATTAATTTTGTTATTTTCTGCCATTTTACAGTTTTATCATTAACATTTTTTTTTTAATTTCAGGAACATTTCAATGCATGTGATTATAAAACACAAGCTTGCCCATACTGTCAACAAGGTGTCCTTAGAAGTCACTTACAGGTTTGAACTTTATGATTTTTTGATTTACTTTTGTTTAAAATACAAATTTATGAGAGGGACTGCAGGATCTTCTACTTGATGTTGAATCATGGAGCAGTCATGGTGGAGTGGTTTAATACCATTGACTTCTAACCACTTGCCCTTCTCCGCAGTAGGTCCGAATCTTCTCAGGAACCTTGGATTATATCATGTGAGGAAGCTATACAGATTGTTTATGGAACGTCGGTGGTTCTACTCAGGTGCAAGTTTGTACCTGAAATAATGCATAGATGGGCACCTGAGGTCTTCCTACACCAGTCAAGGTGGAATGTGGTCATAATATTATGACCTATACTGTGTCGGTGTGATGTAAAACCCAATCAAACAAAACAAACAAACCTAAAAACTTAAGATTCATAGTTTATGATGGTATCTTTGAAAATCTAAGTAAATATTATTCTGAAATTATGATTTTAAATGGAAAGCTCCTGGGCAAAACTTTTGTTTTTGTATGAATTTTAATATGACAATAAATACTACAATTAGTTTGTGCATGTGCACAGGAAATCAAAACGTCACATTGTTAACTTTTCAAATTTACAGCAGGATTTTCCCATTTGTTCTGGTCACCAATAAACTATTACTGTTACAGCTTCAAAATGCACTTGGTCTACCATTCACAATGATGTAATTAACAAATTAAAAAAAGATGTAATGCAGAAATATTTACGGTTAAATTAGGAAAAATCCTCATGAGCTTCTACTTATGTTTTCGGTAGATGTTCAAATGACCCAAACGGGAAATTTCTAATATAAACACAAATTGCTTCCAAATTTGCTTCCAAATTTGCCACAATGAGGTTGCAGGCATTTTAGCTTATAAAACTCAACACCAAAGTAAAAGTTAAAGTTAATAGGAAAGCCATTTTTGTGTCGCCTCTACGGAGTAGTGGCGACATATAGGGATCACTTCTCCGTCGTCTGTCTGTCTGTCCGTCCGTCTGTCCGTCCGTCCGTCACAAAACTTGTCCGGACTACTCCTCATAAACTACTGGTGCAATTTCATCCAAACTTTACAGGAATGATCAGTACCAAGTCTAGTTGTGCATATTGTCAGCATTTTCCGGTCCAATGATTTTTGTCAGAGTTATGGCCCTTTAATAATTTTTATTTTTAAAGTTTGTCCGGACTACTTCTCTTATACCACTAATGCAATTTCAATGAAACTTTACAGGATTGATCTGTAGCTCAAGTCCTTGCGCATATTGCAGGGGTTTTCCGGTTGAATGATTTTTTACCGAGTTATGGCCCTTTGATAAAAAGGTGTTTTTTTCTGTGTGTTGCCAGATACACAAAAGCTTGTCCGGACTACTCCTCATAAACTACTGGTGCAATTTTATCCAAACTTTACAGGAATGATCAATACCAAGTCTAGTTGTGCACTGTCCGTCTGTCTGTCCGTCTGTCACAAAATTTGTCCCAACATGAAATTGGCCATCATGAGGCGACACATGTGATTACTGATCGCTCTTGTATCAATGAAATGTAGCTATTTCTATTTTTATGAATTTTATAAAGTGGTGCTTTAATCATTGAAGGGAATTCATTTGAAATTATAATCATACATTATATTGCTTTGATGATAATTCTAGATCCTTAACCAGTACCCTAACCAACAGCAATGATTTTGATAGAATTATGACCTTTACTGTATGTGTTATGCGTTATGCGTTTGTGACCAGCATGGATCCACCAGACCAGCCTGCGCATCCGCGTAGTCTGATCAGGATCCATGCTGTTCGCTATCAGTTTCTCTACTTGTAATAGGGTTTGTAAGCGAACAGTATGAGTCCTGGAAAGTTGGGATATGACATATACTGTGTCGGTGTGACTACAACACAGTCAAATAAACCAACAAAAAATAACAAAAAGCATATGAACACAAGCTTCAAGCCTTCTTTGAACATGTTTCTTAGTATGTTATTTTTTTTTTCAACAAATGTAATTATTTTTCATTACAAAAACAGACACATCTGGAGAGAGATTGTAGAAAGGTTGAATTGCAATGTGTTGATTGTGGCAGGAAGGTGCTTAGAGAAAGGGTAAGTTGCTAATCTTGTTATATTTCATACTTTGGGCCCCTCTCTTTAAAGCTGCATGCCTCCAGATGAGCCAAAATATTTCGAAAAATGTATTAGGATCTTAAAAAATGTAAAAAAGATTCAATATTTGATTAATTATTAACATTTATTACTGATTTAGCAGTATTGATCACCATAGTTCTACTGCTTTACTAACACAGTAAGAGGTATTTACCTATATTTTGACCTCTTTTTTGTAATTCACGTGGATTGTAAGTGCCGTTTGCAATGTGTAAAGTTCACTTCACAATAATTTACTTTTAAATACATTTTCAAAATTTTCACGAAAAGTAGGTTGAATCTGTAGCCATGCTGCTTTAACATTTGCTGACAGATATGTTATCTAAGTTAAAGGATCTGATAGGCAACAGATTCTTGTTACAGGTCTAGTTTTTTATATCAAATTGCTTTTCTGAAAGTGATAAAAATTTATATGAGCTCTGCTGTTATAGCATGATGTTCAGTCATGTCACAGAGGTGTGTTTTTAGAACTTAAGAAGTCATTCCATGATATTTTTTCTCTTAATTTCACAAATGACCCTCAGATATTGGGTATTAGGAAGTTAAGAGAGCAATAATCTAGGAATTGTACAACATTAAATTGGAAATGTTCAACATTTGTCAATAACAACCCCAACTTAAACAGAAAAAAGTCACTGGCCTTTAAGTAATAGTATGGAGCAAATGAGTTTAATTATATTTTTAGCTCTACTTTTTTGTTGTTGTAATAACGTAGAGATATTGTTACAGTCATGTCAGTGTTGGGTTCTGCAATCTTTAACCTTGATCATCACTTTTTTGAGTTCCTGGTGTCACAACAACCCTTCGGACAAGACCTTCAGACTAATTTGGACTTTAATTCATAAATGACCTCAACCTTCAAGGTCAAATGTCTAAATTTTGCTTGTTTTTTTGCTATTAGTGCCTATTACTTTGTTCTTTTTTGATGGATTGTCTTCAAACTTGAACATAATGTTTAAGGATAGCCCTTTAATTTACCAAAGACAGACCTTGACCTTCACTCGTAAATGACCTTGGCTTTGAAGGTCTAATTATTGAAAATGTCATTTGTTTTTGCTGTAACTGGCTTTAACTTTAATATTAATGAATGGATTGACTTCATATTATAACACAACATTCTTTAGGATTAGACCTTATTATATAACAAACTCAACTGACATTTGCCCTTTTGTGACTTTGACCTTGAAGGTTAAATTATTGAATTTTCACTATTTTTTGCTATAATTGACAATAACTTGATAATTAAGAAATGGTTTATCTTTATACTTTGACAAAACAGTATTTTGAACTAGACCTTTTAAAAGTTTGAACTGACCTTGACCTTGAGCTTTAAATAACTTTGACTGCCATGGTTAAGGTTAAATTATTGAATTTTGATTAAAGTGTCTTAATTTTGTTATTTATGTACAGATTTGATTCAAACATGAGCAAAACATGACTTGCTACCAAAAAATATATTGAATAATTAAGATTTGACCTTGACCTTAAATTAAACTTGAGTGTCAAGGTTTTTGTAACTAGTTTATTTAATAATTGATTTACTTTATAATAAGAAACATCATTTAGGTCAGGACCTTCATGTATATCTAGCACAAATTGACCTTGACTAATGTAAGACCTTGACCTTTAAGGTCAGATTATTCAATTTTCACTGATTATCCCTAAAATGACTTTGACCTGTAAATGACTTTGACTGTCAAATGATTGAATTTTGATTATATTTTCTTAACTTTGTCATTTATTCATGGAAAGGATTCATACTTGGACAAAACAGCAAGTGTGACTAGTCAGACCTATTAAAGTTAATAAAGGAAACGCTTAATTTTTTATTTAACTTTCTTTTTTTAAGATCTGTTTAAAACGTATTTAAAATTTTGGGTTTGATTTTAGAAAAAATATAAAATTTGACCGTTGCCTCCGCCCGGCGGTGGCTTTTGTTTTATGATTAATCATAATGTATATCAGTTTATTTCAATTATGTATGTAAACATTTTTTGATGTAATACCTATTGCTGTATATTTTCTAGATGACCTATCATCAACTGCAGGAATGTCAGAAAGAGAAAATACAATGCCCTGTAGGATGTGGAGAGGTAATGTATACTTATATTTGTTAAATACTTGTAGATATTTTGCTGACAATTACTGCATGAGTTATATGCACAAATATAAATTGATTGAAAATGAAAACCAGTATTGTATATATCACCATTCAGAACTGTTCACTATTTAGGACAGATGTGTAAGCGGCCTGATAGCTCTGTCGGTAGAGCCGTGGTACGGTATTTTGAGGGTCCGGGGTTCGAGTCCCGGTCAGGCTGCAGATTTTTCTCACCCTGTGTCATATACAGTTGTGATACAGAATGATGTTGATGACCTAATACCATAATGTTCTGGTTGATTATATTTGTTGGAATTTTAAAGGACATATGTAATATAATGGTCATTATGGGAGAATATTGATCAATTATTTGTATATGACTCCCATGAAAGGCTTACACTTGCTGGGTTCCAGGATAAGCCCTTTTTCACTAATGATTCAGAAATCATGTTGGATGAGTAGTCAGTCACATGCGAAAAAGTTGATAATTACTGGTTAGTTATCCAGGAAATGCTGTTAGGTTGATCCACTGCTGAGATATGACTAAAAACTTGTTAAATTTAGCATTAAAATCTGGTAAAACAAACATAAGCCTTGACATTTTTAACCAGGTTTTCAATTTTGAAAATCCTGGTTATTAGATTGGGGTATGGCGGGCGGATGGGCGGATGGGCGGATGGGCGGCTGGGCGGATGGGCGGATGGGCGGGCGTCAAACGAAATTGTGTCCGCTCTGTAACTCTTCAACCCTTTGAAGAATTTTGATGAAACTTCAGACAAATGTTTACCACATCAAGATGACGTGCAGAACGCATGTTCCGCATGGCTGGCTCCAAAGGTCAAGGTCACAGTGACATTAACATTGAAAAATCCTGTCCGCTCTGTAACTCTTCAACCCTTTGAAGAATTTTGATGAAAACTTCAGACAAATGTTTACCACATCAAGATGACGTGCAGAACGCATGTTCCGCATGGCTGGCTCCAAGGTCAAGGTCACAGTGACATTAACATTGAAAATCCTGTTTATTACACTTTGAACTTTGTCCGGGACATAACTCTAAAAGTATAAGAAGTATCAACATGAAACTTTGTAGGTAGATAGATCTCATTGAGTAGGTGTGCAGTGCACAAGAACCGTAACTCTGCCTTGCCCTAATTTTTTGAATTATCCCCCTTTGTTTATTTTATACTTTGAACTTTGTCCGGGACATAACTCTAAAAAGTATAAGAGGTATCAACATGAAACTTTGTAGGTAGATAGATCTCATTGAGTAGGTGTGCAGTGCACAAGAACTGTAAACTCTGCCTTGCCCTAATTTTTGAATTACCCCCCTTTGTTTATTTTACACTTTGAAATTTGTCCGAGACATAACTCTAAAAGTATAAGAGGTATCAACATGAAAACTTTGTAGGTAGATAGATCTCATTGAATAGGTGTACAGTGCACAAGAACCATAACTCTGCCTTGCCTAATTTTTGAATTATCCCCCTTTGTTTATTTTTACACTTTGAACTTTGTCCGGGACATAACTCTAAAAGTATAAGAGGTATCAACATGAAACTTTGTAGGTAGATAGATCTCATTGAGAAGGTGTGCAGTGCACAAGAACTGTAACTCTGCCTTGCCATTTTTTTTGAATTATCCCCCCTTGTTTATTTTACACTTTGAAATTTGTTCCGGGACCATAACTCTAAAAGTATAAGAGGTATCAACATGAAACTTTGTAGGTAGATAGATCTCATTGAGTAGGTGTGCAGTGCACACAAGAACCGTAACTCTGCCTTGCCTAATTTTTGAATTATCCCCCTTTGTTTATTTTACTTTTTGAACTTTGTCCGGGACATAACTCTAAAAGTATAAGAGGTATCAACATGAAACTTTTGTAGGTAGATAGATCTCATTGAGAAGGTGTTCAGTGCACAAGAACCGTAACTCTGCCTTGCCTATTTTTGGAGTAATTGCCCTTTGTTCATTTTGACACTTTGAACTTTGTCTGGGACATTACTCTAAAATTATAAGAGATATCAACATGAAACTTTGTAGATAGATAGGTCTCATTGGGTGGAAGTGCAGTGCTTAAGAATCATTAAACTACTGCCTTGCCTTATTTTGAAGTAATTGCCCTTTGTTTTATTTTTACTTTTTGACTTTTGTCCTGGACCAATACTTTAAAAAACTATAAGAGATATCAACATGAAACTTTGTAGGTAGCTAGATATAATTGGATAGAACTGCAATGCTTAAAGAACCTAAACAAAGCCTGGTCTAATTTTGGAGTTATTGCCCTTTTGTTCATTTTTACACTTTGACTTTTTACCCGGGACATAACTCTGATATCATCAGGAAACTTTATAGATAGATAGATCTCATTGAATAGAAGTGCAGTGCAAAAAAAAACATAACTCCGCTTTGCCTAATTTTGGAGTTTTTTGCCCTTTGTTCATTTTTTTTATACTTTCCTGTGTCCAGAACCTTCTCGGGGAGCATCACCCGGTTCAACCGGTTCTTGTTTATTTAATTATGGCCCTTTGTTTTTTTTCCTTATACAGAATATAATTATAGTGAACACTTCCTCTGTGGCAATTCCTCCTACATTATTCATGTTTACATTGCACATAGTTACATTGTTTGTTGCTTGTATTTGTATTTCAAATACAACATATTTATCTACAATGGTGATATTATTGAAAACCTGGTTTCATGGCATTGCCATGTTTCTTGTATGAGATTTTATTAGCTCATTGTTTATGATTGCTGCATCATGGTTGTCATCATGCAAAAACTTTAATGTGAAGTTCATTACTCAAACAATTTTAAAGGTATCTGTATGAAACTTGGAATATTTGCTAATATTAAGACAAGAGGCAGTCGTTAGACAAGCAGCATAATTCTGAAAGGTACATTTATGGACTAAGGCCTTTTTTAGCTCATGTGTCACAAAGTGACATGGTGAGCTTTTGTGATCGCTTTTCGTCCGTCCGTCCGTCCGAAAACTTTTACTTTAAATGACATCTCCTCATAAACCACTAAGCCAATTTCATCCAAACTTCACAGGAATGTTCCTTTGGTAGTCAACTTTAAAAATTGTTCAAAATTTAATTCCAAGCAGAACTCTGGTTGCCATGGCAACCGAAAGTAAAAACTTAAAATCACTTCTTTTGGAAAACCGTAAGAGCTAGAGCTTCAATATTTGGCATAAAACATCATCTAGTCAGTGTTTTCCAAGTTTGTTTTTTTAAATGCCCTTGGGTCAAAATTTGCCCCGCCTGGGGGGGGGTCATTGGTTTTCTTTATTTGTATTTTAAAGTTTATAGTAAAAACTTAAAAAATCTTCTTTTAAAAAACCCAAATAGCTAGAGCTAAGCTATTAAGCATGAAACATCTCTTATAAAAGCCCTGGGGTCAAAATTGGCCCCACCCCAGGGGGTCATTGTTTTTCCCTTTATGTATAAAGTAAAAACTTAAAAAATGTTCTTTTAAAAAACCTTTAGAGCTAAGATATTTAATGGGTTTCTACCATTTTTGTTCAAATAAGGGCACTTGGGTTAAAATTGGCCCCGCCCCGGGGATCATTGATTTTCCTTATATGTATATAGTAAAAACTTAAAAATCTTCAGTTAAAAAACCCAAAGAGCTAGAGTTAGCTATTAAGCATGAATTATCTTCCAGCGAGTGTTTACCAAGTTTGTTGAAATAAATCCCTGGGGACACAATTGGCCCCGCCCAGAAGGGGGGTGGGGGGTCATTATTTTTCCCTATATGTGTATAGTAAAAACTTAAAAAGTCTTTTTAGAGCTAAAGCTTAGATATTTATCATGAAACATCTTCAAATGGGTGTTTACCGAGTTTGTTAAAAAAAAAGCCCTTGGGTTAAAATTGGCCACTCCCTGGGGGCCTTTATACAGGTGAGCGATTTCAGGGCCATCATGGCCCTCTTGTATAGCTCACCTAGGCTAGCTCAGGGTGAGATTTTAGGATCGTTGAATGTACGTTGCCATCATCTGTCCACACTTATTTGTTAACACTCTAGCGGTCACATTTTTGCCTCAATCATCAGCAAACTTTGTCAGGATACTAATCTAGGTAATAGCTCGGATGAGTTCGAAGGTGGGTCATCTCGGATGAAAAACTAGGTCACAGGAGCTAAAAATAGAAAAACCTTGTTAACACTCTTGTGGTCACATTTTTGACTCAATCATCATCAAACTTGGTCAGGATGCTTGTCTAGGTAATGGCTTTGATGAGTTCGAACATTGGTAATCTGGGATGAAAAACTAGGTCGCAGGAGCTAAAAATAGATAGAAAAACCTTGTTAACTTGACTCAATTGTCATCAAACTTTGTCAGAATGCTTGTCTAGGTAATTGCTGGAATAAATTCGAACATGGGTCCTCCTGGATGAAAAACTAGGTCACAGGACTCACCTGTCATGAAACTTGGTGAAAATGCTTGTCTAGGTAATTGTTCTGATGAGTTTCATGGGTCAGGTGAGCGATCTAGGGCCATCTTGACCCTCTTGTTTAACTTACTTTTTGTCAAAAGTTGTTATTTTAATACATGTAATAGGTGAGCATTAACACGGCATGCGGTGCCCTTGTTTAGACATGTACATGCCCTGGAAACATGATTAACTCTGAGGCCTAATGGAACTGAAAGTGATAAGCATTCGCTACCAGTATAGAGCCAGGCCAGTCTACCCACTGTACAGTCTGACCAGGCTCTATTCTGTTGGCCGATAGTAATTATTGATAATGCACAGTCCCAAAACTCTGGTTGACATGTCCATTTGAGAAATACAACAGATACAGGATAAAATATTCTTGTAGGACAACTGGGATGTCAGTTTTTATGAAATTAAAGATGAGATTATTTCTTTACATGATGTACAAAAACAAATAGGTTAAAAAAAAGACATTATCATTGGAGGTACCAGTTATTAACCCTTTAACTGCTGGAATTTCATTATAAGCCTTTACCATTACTTTAGAGCTAGGCCAGCCTGCCCATCTGTGCAGCTTGCCAAGGCTGTATATTGTTTTCTGACAATATGCAAATTTTTATAATTATATCCCCAAAAGTTTTAATGGATAGTTCTAAAAATGAAAGCTGGACAAATCCATTTAAAGTATTTAGCCAGTTAAATATGGCCTGCCAGATTGTTGATCAAATGTTTCTGCCAAGTATATGTAGAAACCCTTTTATAAAAATATTTTGTGTGTGTTTTAAGATTGAAAGAAGACACTATCAAGACCACTTTAGGGAGAAGAAACATGAAATTTGGATTGCCAAAGAGGTTTCTAAACTTGCTGCCACTCTTGAAGAAGTCAAGGGGTCAGAGCTTCAACTTCAGACATCGGTTTCAGAAAGTACAGCAGCTTCTTTCCAAATGAATGAGAAGATTACACTACTTGAGGGCCAGATACAACAACTCCGTACCCAGACAAGCGTTGGTACTGGAATTAGCCAACTCTCTGACTCTGGGGTTGGTACTGGAAGTAGTGGTGCATCAAATATTGATGCAAAGATACGACAGCAGGTTGAGATGAATTTGCAGTCTGTAAATGAAAGATTAGATGTTAAAACTGGCACCTTTGAGGGAATAGCCAGTGCTTTACATAGAGAGCTTGAGAAAACTATTACAGCAGTAGAGAAGCTTGAAAGGCACAGAAGGGAAATGGAATCTAACCTTGAACAGAGTCAGAATAAAATCCGATCTTTGGAAAGATCATTGGCACTAAAAGACATGTCGATGGCCGAGTTGGAACTGAAAGCACAGTCGATGGAAGCTGCTAGCTATGATGGAACCTTCATGTGGAGGGTTCACGACTTCACCAAGAAACACCAGGATGCTGTCCAAGGACGGACAATCAGTATCTACTCGCCACCATTCTATACAACACGTCGAGGTTATAAAATGTGTGCCAGGCTTTACCCAAATGGAGATGGAATGGGCAAGGGATCGCATCTTTCCTTGTTTTTCGTGGTTATGAGAGGGAATTATGATGCCCTGTTAAAATGGCCATTTAGTCAGCGTGTGACCTTCTGCATTGTTAACCAAACCGGAGGCGAACATGTGATAGATTCATTCAGACCTGACCCTCAAAGCTCGTCATTCAAGCGACCAACTTCTGATATGAACATCGCATCAGGGTGTCCCCTGTTTATTCGCCTTGAGATGCTGCAAAACCCAAATCATGGTTTTTTGAAAGATGATACATTATTCTTAAAGATAGCAGTTGACACAAGTGGTCTTACAGATCCTGTGTCGAATTTGGAGGAAAGGATTAAGGTCACAGCTTAGAAATATTTGCCTCTCTCATTTTGGCAGGCTTTGACTAAGTCAAAGATAGAGGAATTGAGTGAAAGAAAGGACAAACAAAAATAAAGACTATTCAAAATATATAAAAACAAGTTCAGTTACTGTGATATAAAGAATATCATTGTTAAAAAAAACCAACAAAACAAACAAAATGATTCATAATATTCAAACAATACTTTAGAATTGTTCCTAACAGAATGAAAAGAATAGAATGTCCTGCAGCATGACCAAAACAAAGTCCTGTCAAAATTATTTCAAATCGTCACTTTATGAAGAGAAGCAAATATTTCTAACCAATATCTAAGTTTGAACAACCTAGATAAAACAAACTATTTTGTTCATTGACATATGAACGGACATGAACAGACCAGAGATCCATTTGTGTACAGTTTAACAAAAAGTAATTTGTATATCGATAAAAAATGTTGTTGAAATGATGCAGATACAAAAGATGTGATGGCAATACAAGGGATATGAACTGTTTGTTAGAAGACATGAACTTGTCACAGAAAAACAGTGATGAAGGTAAAACTACAGTTAAAAAACTATAGCTTTTGATGGAATTTATATACATGTATATGCCGTTATAATATCACTATACGGTATAAAGGCACTTTACAAATTTGAATATAAAGGATTGCATGTCAGCATGTGAGGTCGAAGAATTCTCTACTGCTAGTAACATCAGTAATAAAAAAGGTGAGTACTTACTTGTGATGCAAACAAAAATTATGAAGTTGATATATTTAATAATGGAATAAAGATTTTTTTATTTTGGAAGGTTATATAACTAGTAAATAGTTGTGAATTAATAGGCAAGTGATCATATAATCTGCCTGAATTTTTCATAACAAAATACATAAAACTGCACATGTTTTTTTTTTATAAGAAATAAAATTAAGAATTAATGTGATAAATAGAAGATCATATTCATGTAGATTCAATACTAAATGTATTGAAATCATTGAATAAAACAACATTATGCTCTGCTCACCAGAGAGGCCTACATAATATGGATTTATTCAACATGTTCAATAAATTTAGTATTAAAATCTACCCAGTTTATGTCATTGTTTCTGTAAATGAAAAAAAAGAAGACATTTTTCAGTTAAGAAACTCATATTTATTCATAATTTTTCATTGCATATTAGATATTGCTATTCATATAACAACTTCCAGGAATGATTGGAAGTGGGATATTTTACGTGCCCCTTTCATGTTTTGTTTCAGACAAGAATGGTCTAATGATTAGACCGATTGATCTCTAGTTAGCTAGAAGCTTGATAGAGTATATACCTACAATGGTAAACATTTTATATACCAGTCAATTGTGACCCAGGCCCTTCCGCACCTGTCTAGGGGAAATGAGCTAAGTTTTTATGTTTTGTCTGGCCCTGGATTGACAGGTTTTGTTTTGGTCTCAAAACAGCATGGGGATGTTTTAAGATGTATGTGCTTCTGCATTAAGCATCCAGATTACCACCTGACTGCCCTAGCAGAGTGGGGACTTTACCACAACTTTGAAACTCAAAAATTCTAACAATATTGGAATTTTTTCTATATAAACAAAGAAGGACCAAAGTGTGCATTATTCTACAACAATGCACTCGCCGTCTTATTATCTCCTTGTGTATTTTCACTTTGAAGGCGCCATTTATTTTTGGAAATTCTGATAAATATAAAAAAAATTGTCGAATTTTGTTGTGAAAACTATCTAGAATGAAAGAAAATGGTCTAAGAAAATGTTGTTTATGTGACGTCACAATGGAGTGCCAAACAGCACATGCAAAACAATCAAACCAAGTACGCTATTTTAATATCGCAAACGAGTTAAGTCTTACATTTACTTCACTTGTAATAATTTGTATTTCGTTTGAAAAATTATAGAGTGAAATAAAATAAACAAAGTTTTATCAACGTTTTTTAAATTTGTTATGCTTAAAATGTTTCTACACACGGTAGATTTAACGACAGTTTTTTTTCAACCCACTGGAACGGCCTTTAAAGAACGTTTCTATTGGAAACTCTAAGAAGAAAACAAATTTAACCACGAAACATAAAATCCAATTTTAAAATAATAATTATACTTTTTCTGACGTTTTAGAATGAAATAGATATTAATTTTTCCCGTGCATTTTTGGGAAATAATCACGTTTTTCGTTCAAATGCGTTGTAATTAATCACTAGCCTATGGGCCCTTGTGATTATATTTAACTTTTTGAACTCAAACCGTGCTTTTCACAACAATGCACTCAGAATTGTATCTATTTCCTAAACAAAGAAGCCCGAATCGTGCATTGTTCTGCAAAAATGCATCCCCGTTCTTATTATCTCCCTTTTTTTTTTAAATTGAGGGCGCCATGTTTTTTTTGAATTTTGAAAAAAAAGAAAAAAATTGTCGAATTTTGTTGTAAAAAATATCTAAAATGAAAAAAAAAAGGGTCTAAGAAATGACCCAAAACCCAATATCTTTAATTCAATGAAAAACCAAATGTGGTTTTTTATGCTATAAATCATGTTTGACGTTTATATTTTGACATGTGACGTTAATCATTAACCTGACGTGTCCCCTAAAATGTGACGCGTGACAATAAATCGGAAAAAAAACAGGCGCAATTTAGCTAATTTCATGTACGCAGCTTTATTTGTTGAGTGTTAGAAACGAAATAATATATCCCCAAATCGGGGATTTTATTGTTGATAAATCACTGTTTTTCGTTCCCTGCGCATCTTTTTCACTCGGCTACGCCCTGTGATATAATTCCCCCCATCCCAACTCCCAAAAAGTTGTTTTGAGCTTTATAATGTTAATTATTCTTTTTCTTGACGTGTTAGAATGGAAATAGATATTAATTCTTTGTGCATTATTGTATAATAATGCACGTTTTTTGTTCAAATGCTTTGTAATTAATCACTCGGGCCTATCGGCCTTCGTGATTATATTACTACGCATTTGAAGTCAAACAACAATACACTCAGAATTGATATCTATTTCCTAAGTTTAAGAACGCCATGGGGATGGGCAGGGGCAACAATTGACAGTAGGAACATGTCAATAATATTTGTTGTTGTTTTTACATGTTTTTGTTAAATGCTAGTTCCTATGAAGATTTTTTATTATTTTTTGTACATTTTAATTTAACCTTTTAATTCTCTGCATTTACAGTTCTAAAACTTGACAATATTTAATGATGCAAAAATAAAATTATATGACAGTGTTCAACCCCACCCGCTTCGATATACTTTAATTAGTTTATAAGTCATGCATGTTATAACTTAGATCAGGGAAAAAAACCAACATCTTTATACTTTTAAATTATGTTAAATTGCTTGAATATTATGAATCATTTTGTTTGTCTTTCCTGAATTTGTTATGCTTTGCGACTTGTGCTCAAATTCTTTTGAAACGTCTTTTGCCAAAATGAGAGAAGCAAATATATCCAACTTGTAACATTTACAACCCCGCTGTATTATATGTTAATCTTCTTACCCCATTTTATTATGTTGATATGCTGAAACAGTAAAATTGTAGGCCCCTAAAGGAATGTGAGATATTATTTCAAGTCATGACTGAAAATGCAGAGAATTAAAAGGGTTAAAATTTAAATACTACTTTGTTAAGGTATGACCAACCTAGTGGGCATTTTAAGGAACTTAAAAATTGAAATCGTAGGTCAGATATATATATATCTTGAAGGACATCTGCATGCAAAATTTAAGAAAAATTTACTGTATGGTTTATGTGTTATGGACACCTTCCTGAAGAAAAGTTTAGATGAATAGAAGTGCCTTTTTCAGAAATAAGAAAACTCTAAATAATCCATACATTTTGTATTAGTTATTTCTAAGAGACAAATAATAACATTAAGGTAACAAATGACTGAAGCCAAAGTTTTGTCTAAATTTTCTCAGAAGTATTGATCAGTTGATCTTGTCAAAGTTTAGATGATTTTCATTTTAGTTTTAATTCTATCAGGTCCCAATTTTATAAATAAATCTAGCATTATGTAGCCAATAAATGCCAATGATTATTATATAATCAAAAAGCAAATTAAAAGGGATGTGAATGATATGTGAATAATGTTAAAGAAAGAAAAAAAAACACAAAAATTGACCCCACTAGGGTTTGAACCTAGGAGCCTCAATTTCAATGCAGTTGAGAAGTATTTTGCCTATGTAAATACTCTTCAAAGCGGAAGTTATGCATTAGGATGGTCATACCTTATGGACAATTATAAATAATATATTTATTGGACTGATGTTGATTTGAATATGATAGAATGTTTCATACATTTTATGTTTTATTATTCTTTTTTCAATAATGTTACTTATTGCAATATTATAATTATATGACATTTTTGTTGTTTTATATTAGAAAAATAGGGGTTTATGGTACTGAAAATGTTGAAATTATATTGTTTTTTTTTCTCAACCTATAGAGTGGCAGTATTTGTAAGAAGACATTACACACTTACTGTGTTGGATTGGCTTTGTCATCAGTGTAGTAAATGAACTGTTTATAAAAATAATTTTTTAAAAATCATTTGGTTTAGAGTTTATTTGTAAGCATGTACAAAAATTAAATTGGTTGAGAGGCTGTAGTGAAGTACACTCTCTTGATCTCATGAATTTTGTAAAAGTTTACAAATGGACACTGCAGCATGCCACCAGATTCATGCTAATTTTCATGAAAATTTTGAAAAAAATGAATATGTATTTAAAAGTAAAATATTGTGAGGTAAACAATAAAAAAGTATTTTTTGCATTGCAAATTGCACTTACATTAAAAGGAAAAATAGCCCTTACTGAGTTAGTCACCCGTTGTTACAGAGGATGAGTCTTATTGTTATTTTCATTTATCATGTCATTGTTGTATAATGTATGCACAGAATATACACTGTGGATTACCAATAATGTTACCGTGTAAATGTTTATCATATTATTAGTCCACCAATCACATGGTTCACAAAAGCAGAACCATTACATTCTATTAAATATCCATTCTTTATTTGTTAAAATTGTACGTTCTATCATTGCCCACATCAAATATAGCCGTATTTCGCCTATGTTTAATAATACGCAAAGAATGTCAATCGATATCTTATCATGGGAATTTTACAAATCTTACATGATGACTCAATGGTGTATTATGATTTGAAAATTATTTATTGATGGTTTAATGCATATTATTTATTCTATTTTCTGTCCAATTCAAAGTAATTTTTTCTCTATTTTGAAAAGCCAATTTGAATATAATTGCTTTATACATACATATAAATGTATATATACAGGCAGCTTTTGAAAAATTCACAATAACTAAAGAATTGTTTTATTACCAGTCAACAAAAATGTGAGTCTTGCTCATTAATTGCAATGAAAACAACTTGTTTAACCGCCTCCGTGGTCGAAGGGGTTAGAGTCGATGACTTCTTATCCAGTTACCTCTCTGGCGTGGGTTCGATCCCCGCGAGATGCTTTGGTAGTTTAGCACGGAGGAAGGTAGTCTAGTACTGGTGTAACTCTCCAGGAACGATCGTTAGGAAACTACCCGCCTATATGACTGAAATACTGTTGGGAAAGGCGTAAAATGAAACAAACAAACAAACGGAAAAAAAATTGTAAAGAAAACCTAACCTTTTACCACAACATGTATTTCTTAATCAGAAGTTCCATACATTTTTATTGGAATTCACATGAACTGTCATATTTCATTTAACATTCTTTTGCATATGACATTGTTTAAAATTTGTAATTTTAATGATTGAGTCCTGTTATAATTTTCATGTTTGTAAATCTTTTGAATATGTTTTTGCTTTGTTGGTGATTTTGACTTATTGTCTGAGTATAAAGTAGATCTACACATTAAAAAGATTTGACTTAATT